AGGAATAAAGGCAAAGGCAGAAACTTGTTCCTTCCAACCAGTTTGTCCCCAAAAGCTGCTTTTCCTACATCGTATTCTGGCAATGCCTTCAGCTCATCCATAGAACACGTTGGGGCAGCAACTTGAGATGCTCAAGGCCACCTCAGCAAGTCCTTGGGGGTGGGGAGCTGTGGGAGGGGGATTCAGGAGTCCCCCACCAGCACATCTGTTCCCACAAGCGCTGGCACAGCTCGGTGGGTGCCTTTTCAGCCCAAATTACTGCACTGGGCTGACAGCAGCAGCAGGGCAGGAGGGAGCCCCAGGGCAGGGCGAGTCCCCCCGGTTTCCCATGCAGGGCTTCCCACACACCTCTCCAGCAGGATGCTGCGATCACCACATCAGCTGAGAGAGAGAGATTAATTTTTTTCATCCTGGCTCTAGCATCAGGGCGAACAGGAATGGCAAGTCAGCAGAAGCGTTAAGGGGCAGCACCAAAAAAACAAGGAGGAGAGAGGAAGCAACAACCCCACAGCTTGTTTCTGAGCTGCTCCTGCCTGATCGTGGACATGGGCACCTCTTGCAGCCCCACGCAGGAGACCAGACCAGCAGCATAAGGATGCTGCTGGCAAAAGCGTGGAGGATTTGGCTGACCTGAAAGACACTGGTGATTTGGACCTGCACCTTTCTGGCTCACAGTGGCTTTCAGCTCGGTGCTTACTCCTTCCTCTGCTCAAGCTGAAACCCAGGCAACCAGTGCTGGGCCAGAAAAATGATTCATACTAATCGTAACACCCAACTGCTGAGAGGAGGGGGAGCTTCCCCAGTGGAAAGCATCACCACAGGGCAAGCAACTGGGGCAACTGGTGCCCTGTGAGCCCTCCTTCAGCCCTGCCAGAGCTGCCTCATGCTGATAGGCATCCAGGTGGCAGGACGTTGAGTGATGCTGCTTTTGGCAAAGGCCCGTCTCAGAGCACAGGGTGAGGCAGGGATGCTCCCATGCCACTGTGGTGGCCCCAGGCCAGCTGGGACCACCTTATCCCTGGCTACCAAGCCCCCAGATGAGTGGGGTGGGCTTTGCTCAGGGGGGATCCAGCACCGAGCTCCAGATCTGGCAGGGTTGTGCCGGCATTCCACAGAGCCCCAGAGCGTGCCGGCCAAGCCGGCAGAGCCTGGCGAGCAGGTTGTGATGTAAACCCCGGGGGTGGTGGTGTGGGCCCCAGCGCCCCAGTTCCCGCCCGGGAACAGCAAAAAAAAAAAAATATGCTCTTCCTAACATCAAAAATCCTTCTCCAAGACTTGCAATGTGCCCCGTTCCCTCAGCCCCACCGTGTCTTGCAGCCAAGCCCCTGCCACAAGACCTGCCACCGGCTTCCAGAGCCGGCATCACCCAAAGGACGGACGTGCCGAGCAGGGGTGAACTTTCCTGCTCTGCCTGTTGCTGGCTGGAGCACCTTGGCATGTCCCCCCTTCATCAGCAGGCCACACGTGTGCAGTCATGACTCCTTCACCACAAAGTCAGCTCCTGGGCAGGTCACGTTGGAGGAGCCTGATGGGCCGAACCTGAGGTAACTAAGGTGGAAAAGGAGCTCTTCCCTCTAAAAGGGGTGAGTTTTTGCCTGTAACAGCAGGACTTTGAGGCTTCCCAGAGGAAATTTTGCCCTGGAATAAGTGATTTCCCCTCAAGCAAGGACCAGGGGTCAGAAACCAGTTCTTCCCACCTTGTCCCATAGGGGATGAGCCAGGTATCACCTTCTCATTCTGTTGGGGGGAATGCCCAGAGGACAGCAGCATAAGCTCATCTGCAGAAGGATTTGCTCACAGATACCCACAGCTCTGGTGATGAGAGGTCTTCAAAGGTACACAGGGCTGTGGCATTGTACCCCATTGCCCTACCCAGAGATCAGCAAGCCACAGCAGAGGAGGCTTCATGTCTCCTGCACCTTGTACGAGGTCCCTAAGGAAAGGGGCAGCTTTATGGTGGCACCACGGTCGCTTCATCCTTCAAGGACAATAGAGTGGTTTTCCCCAGATGACATACACGCAGTCAGGTCCGAAAGCCAAGGGCAGCAGAGAAGCAGCCCTCTCCCCCATTGCTGCTGACACACATCATCAGCTGGCCTCCCTCCTCCGTACCTGGCAAACCACTGACTCCATCTGAATCCCCACTGCCCGGAGAAAGGAGGGAGAGAACCACATTTTGCCCTGAGACCATCTTTAAGGGTAGAGGTTGAAATGCTCATGTCCAGGTGGGCAAGAAGTAAAGCCACTGGTAGTGCCACTGCCCCAGCTCTCCTCTGGCCTAACTCTACTGCCACAGAGGCAGCAGGAAACATGCTATGGAACACTACAGCTGGGAATAGTTTTGGGGTTCAGAGGGGTTTTCTGGGCTCTTCTCCAGTCCTACCCCCAGGCCTGGCCTTACCTTGGTAGGAGCCCAGGCACACAGAAAGGATCAGCACCCAGCCACTCCATTTGCTCTCCATGCCGTTCCTAAGATAGTCCTCAGTGGCTGGTTCCTCTCCTGTGCTGCTCCCAGTCTGAGGAATCTTGGATGGGTTGGGAGAGGTAGCGAGAACCCAACACCTACGCAGGGGCAATTACCACACCCATCTCTTTACGCCCTGTTTATAAAATCATCACCAGTCTGCAATTGGAGGGAGGGACCAGAGCTGAGCAGGTATTCCTGGGAAGTTAAAACCAGCCCAGAACCTGCTGCTCAATGCTAACCTTCACCACTCCTGGCTGCAAAGGGGGGGAAAACTGTCCTAGTGCTGCATGATAGTTCTTTTTCTATGCTCTTCACCAAGTGGAGCAACATCCCTTACAAAAGAAGGTCAGCAGCACACATAACCCAGACCAGAACCCAGTGGATCCTGGGCTGCACCCCCAGCAGTGTGGGCAGCAGGGCAGGGAGGGGATCCTGCCCCTCTGCCCCACTCTGGGGAGACCCCCCTGCAGTGCTGGGGCAGCTCTGGAGTCCTCAGCACAGCAGAGACAGGGACCTGCTGGAGTGGGGCCAGAGGAGTCCACAAATATGATCCAAGGGCTGGAACCCCTCTGCTGGGAGGCCATGGAGACCTTCTTGCTTCCAGAACTTAAAGGGGGCTTGTAAGAAAGCCAGGGAGGGGCTTTTTGGCAGGGTCTGTTCTGAGGACAGGACAAGGGGTGGTGGTTTTAAACTGAGGGGGACATTCAGACTGGAGAAGGAAGAAATTTCTTACACCGAGGATGGCAAAACACTGGCCCAGATTGCCCAGAAGTGCTCGATGCCCCAGCCCTGGAACCATGCCTGATGAGGCTGAACAGGGCTCTGAGCAACCTGCTCTAGTTGCAGCTGTCCCTGCTCGCTGCAGGGGATTGGACTAGATGAATTTTAAAGGTCTGTTCTGACCCAAAGCATTTTATCATTATATGAACCAGTAAATTTAGGATGAGTAAATTCATGGTGCATCCAAAGGCAGGCAAGTAGTTGGCTTAAAGCCTTTAAAAGACATGTGTTCATTGCTTTATTTTAATAAAGCAAAAAGGAAGACCCCCTCAACCAGAAGTCAGCACCACAGCCTGGTATTCACTCAGCTTCAGGAACTCCCTCCAGCCTGCGCAAGGCAGAGGAATTGCAACACGGGGCTGTTGCCTCACCATGGTGGCAATCCCTGGCAAGTGGCTTCTGCAACCTGCAGCTGCACTCAATAGAGCAAAGGCTTGATGGGACACGCACATTGCAACACGATGTCAACTCAAAGGCAACCTGAATCCTGTCAGTGACATTTTGGGATGTGCCTTCTCCTGGATCTGCAGCAAAGGGGAAGCTAAGGAGACCCTTTGGCAATTAGCATGCAAGAAGGAAAGGAAACATCAGTTTACAGAAGTTTTTATTGTTCATTAAGGAAGCTTTTGTGCAAAAATCAAGACAATGTTCTTTAGAAAGCAACTGCACACGTCCCCCCAGCATAACTCAAGCAGGTCAGGTGTCACAGTCCACAGGGAGGGAGAAAACTTCACCTCGCCCAGCAGGTTACTAGCACAAATCCTTCACTACCAAAAACCCTCAGAAAATTAAAACCTTGACAACTTCTAAGAGCAACTGTCAATCCATCCCCACCTCTTCCCTCAAAAACTTCATGTCAAGAGGACACTCTCTATGATGAGACACATCTGATGCCACCCTAACACAACCTGTACCTCCAGGGCAGCAACACTGGAGAGAGCCCACTTCCTACCCAGTGTATCTACCCCAACTGGGATATGCTGCTGGAACCACTGCATGAGCCTGCCAAGATGGAAAGCTGCAGGTATTTTACACCTTTAGGGGAAATTATTCTCTTCTTTTTCTCTTCCAAGCCGTGAGTGCTTCAGCATTCTGTACAAACGCAAACAGGAAAGACAAACTGGTATTGCCATCTGTCAACACTGCCCAGGCATTCAGTATGTACACATAGGAACAAAAAAAGCTGCAGAATCGAGTGGTTTTCCGTGAAAATGCGTGACAATTACTTTGCTTGCTGCTCATCCCACCTCACCCAAGACACCACAGGAACAGTAGCAGTTGCCGGCACCTTTTGGAACAGGCCTGGAATTTTCAAAGCTCCACCTCTGCCCAGCTCCTCCTTCCCAAAGGTCTCCTCAGAGCTACTTTGGTGTCTCTGTTTTGAGGGGGGAAACTTGATCAGAACTATATACTAAAGGCTGGTAGGGGACGCAAGGTCCATTTCAAGCAACATGAACACAATTGTCCTTCCCCAAGGTCCCTCCAGCTCAAGGGCCTGACTCGTTTCCAGGGCAGCAGCCGGCCTCGAGTGGCTTTTGTTGATAAGTTGAGTGTGATGATGCTGAGGTGTGGAAGGCAGGTTGTCAGCAGAGCTGCCAAATACCTACTGCAGCACTCTTGCCATCTGCCATCTCCACTGGCTGCTCAGACAGCTCCCAACAGAAATGGGAAGTCTGGAAAAAAAACCACTTCCAACTACTCAGAAGGGTCAGAGAGATCGCATGGCAGCAATGGAAACCACCCATGAGCCTCAGAGCACCTCTGAGCTTTTAGATGACCAAAACATGCTAGAGAAACAGATCAAGGAACAAAACAGCATTTTACAATAAAAACCATTTTTCCATGTGTTCTGCCCTCGCTCTGATGTATGTACAGCCCCTGCTGACTTCTTCCCCTCCATCTTCTACTGACCCAGCTCGCCCCACCTCCTTGGCACCCGGCCAGCTGCATGTAGGAAGCTGCAAGACTAAGCAGAATTGAGCAACTAGGATAAGAAAGTCTCAACTATGTCAGCATGCTTCAAAAGACTTGAAATCCCACTGGACAGGGCTTGACAGTAGAACACCCATGCTTAGACAAGTAGACCAAGGAAATAAAAAGGACATGACCAAAGGCTGAGGGAGAGTTTCCTTAGACTAAGATAACACCACAAGCCGTAAGTGTGGTCACTCAAATGCAAACACTTTTTTTAGGTATCAGTTACTCTGAGACTTAGCTGGGCACACAAGGTCCCTTCCTCTGCATCTGTGGAGCTTTGAATATTCCAGCCGAAGGGATTCCCAGATTCA